TAGTGCTTTAGATAAAAGTATAGAATCAAGTCCCACTGTGCCCACACTTTCCGGCTGGGTCATGACCATCCCACCTCCAGGAATTCTCAAGCAGAGGAACAGATGTGATATTTTTTGTCTCAAACCTGTACCACATGCTTGAAATAGTGGAAATGCTTTAGCCCTGAGGAGGCTCAATGGCTCCCATAAAATTCCATAAGCAATTCAAAATAATCTACAGGTGGAAGACCTGCATTCTCACTTGCTTACACAACTTGCCAATTATATGACCTCAGATAAGTCATTAGGCACCGTGAGTCTCATTACATCAGCTTTATAGCAGAGAAAGAACTGATCATTTCCCCACCTTCCCATGGGTGAAGGTCCAATAAAATAATGGGTGTCACATCAGTGTGTGAGTGAGGCTTGGATGGCTCAAATCCTGAGATCCCAATCTTCCTCCTCCTCCTCCTCTTCTTTATATATCAAGGGCTTCCTGTCTGAATTAAATTGTCCTAGGTACTGTGAGGAATACAAAGATAACCCAGAAGTCCCCTTAAAACTATACAGGGAATTATGCTTCTATGCATGTTAAGTGATAGGAAAGAAATACAGGTAATATGCTGTAAGAGTTACAAGGAGGAAAGGTTACTTCCTGCTTAGGGGTCCAGGAAAACCTCACGGAGGAAGGGGTATATGAGCGGGCCACTGAAATCTGGATCAAATGTGGACAATTAAAGGCAACGATGATGAAAGGCATCTTAGCAAAAGGACCAACAGTCACAGGCACAGAGAAGGAAAAGCATAGAGTATTCCCAGGAAGAACAAAGAAATCTAGAACTCTGTTCAAGAGAACAGAAGGAAATGAAGCTAAAAAGGCAGACTGGAGGCAGACTGAGGACGGCCCTGCAGTCAGACTGAGTTTGGACTCCAGTGCCATCCTCACCGAACACCCCATGTGCCCACATTCTCTATCTGGATAAACTACACCATATACCTCAATTTTCCTAAACATCTTCTTTTGCCAATTCAGTCAGTCAGTTCTCCAGGATATTGCTCAAATTTATCCTCTATTAGGTCTCACCTAGATTCCCGAAATAGTCTCCTGTCTCCAGTCTTGTCCCACTGCAATTGATCCATTCTCCACACTGATGTAAGACTGACCTAAAACGCAATCTCACCACATTACTCCTGTTTAAATGTTTCAGTGATTTCCTGTTACCTGCAGATAACACTCCAACACCTTCAGTAAGACACAAGGTATTTGGTGATTTCTCCAGGCTTCATCCTCTGCTGCTCCCTCACAAGTCTCCTTCACTTCTGCCACACTGACCTTGAAATTCCTTAAAATACCATGCTCTCTTCACCTCTCTGCACCTCTGAATTTGCTGTTCCTTCTGGATAAAACCTAACTTTCCCTCTTCCTCTGACTAGATAATACCTACTCTTCTCTTTTAACACTCATATTACATTTGACATTGTTCTAGAAGTACTAGCCAATGCAATTAGATTTTTAGATTCCCGAAATAGTCTCCTGTCTCCAGTCTTGTCCCGCTGCAGGACAAGTGTTTTGCTCAACACTTATAATATTTAAGTCAATTTGTCTAATTGTCCACCTTTGCTAAGGTGCCTTTCATCACCGTTGCCTTTAATTGTCCACATTTCTTAGATTTAAAAAAAAGTAAAAGGTTCAAATGTTGGGAAATGGAAGCAAAAATTAGCATTTGTAGATATGATTATAAATCTAGAAAACATGAGAGAATCAAATTTAAAAAATGAGACAATTGTAGAATTCAGTAAAAGAATACACAATTTATATACAAAAGCCAATAAGGTGCCCTGGCCAGTTTGGCTCAGTGGATGTGGACCGAAGGGTCCCATGTTCAATTCCAGTCAAGGGCAAAAGCCTGGGTTGCAGGCTCCATTCCCAGTGTGGGGTGTGCAGGAGGCAGCCAATCAATGATTCTCTCTCATCATTGATGTTTCTAGCTCTTTCTCCTACTCCCTTCCTCTCTGAAATCAATAAAAATATTTTTTTAAAAAAAGCCAATAAGGTATCTTTATACAAATGGTAGCTAGTAAGAAACTATAATGTCAGAAAGTATTTCTTTATAAGAGCATAAGAAAGATATAATATCTAAGAAAATGTTTCCAGACTTATGAAGGGAAATGTTAAAATTCTACTAGAAAAACAAATCTTGCTTCCAGATAGCATGTAAACTCCCCAAAGGCATGGACCTTTCTCTGCTTTGTTCACTGATACATTTCAAGTACTAGGAACACTGTCTGGAATATGGCAGGCACTCAATAAATACCTACAGAATACCTACAGAAATACCTAAAAATCTAAAAATTCAATGTGACAAGTTAAAATACAAATTGGATTTATATGTGTATTCTGAGGGGAACTGACAGAAATATCAACCTTCCACTTAAAAAATACATGTAAGATCATTTTTACCTAGTATATGAGCAAAAATTCAAGTATTCAGAGTTACAGAAGTCAAGGAGAACCAGAATAATCAAAATGTTATTGGTGAACTATAAGTTGGTATAGTCCCGTGGTCGGCAAACTGCAGCTCGCGAGCCACATGCGGCTCTTTGGCCCCTTGAGTGTGGCTCTTCCTAAGCCTTAGGAGTACCCTAATTAAGTTAATAACAATGTACCTACCTATATAGTTTAAATTTAAAAAATTTGGCTCTCAAAAGAAATTTCAATCGTTGTACTGTTGATATTTGGCTCTGATGACTAATGAGTTTGCCGACCACTGGTATAGTCATTTGAAAGGACAATTTCTTAATATCTATCAACATCAAAATGTGTTTATTCTTTAAGCAATTTCTCAGCTAAAATTAATTCCATAACTATATTCACACATTTATGGGCAAACATATATGGAAGTATGTCCGTTGTATTACTGTTTGAAAATGGGGGTGGGGGGGGCAATCTAAATTTCTATCAATAACAGATCTGTTATGTAGAATACACCTAACTGGAATACTATATAGACATCCTTAAAACTGAAGTACAATCATCTGCTGGTATAGCAGGGGATTGGTTCTAGGACCCTCCCCTGGGGAAGGGTCCAAAATCTGAAAATGCTCCAGTCCCTTATAAAAAATGGCATATTGTTTGCATATAATCGATATTTGCAGATAGACGATGGCAGGGTATGCCCTACATATCACTTCATTCCTGTGGATTCAGTATAGTGCTCAGCATGTGGCAAATTCAAGTTTTGCTTTTTGAAACTTTCTGGGATTTTTAAAATATAATTTTGATCTGTAATTGGTTGAATCCACAAATGCAAAACTCAGAAAATTGAAACCAATGGACATAGACAGTCAATTGTATACAATACAGAATGAAATAGAAATAAGTCAATGGTCTATTAAAGCAAAAAAAGACAAGGTGAGAACAATGTGTGTCATATAATCCCATTTTTGTTCTGAAATTATATAACTACTAGAGGCCCGGTGCACAGATTCCTGCACCGGTGGGGTCCCTCGGCCTGGCCTGTAGCGATCAGGTTGAAACCAGCTCTCTAACATGCCCCAAGGGGTCCTGCATTGCAAGAGGGTGTTTTTTGGATGACACACCCTGAATCAGGCCCCCTCCTCTCTGGTTCCAGGTGTGTCACCCAAAAACCGCAGCTGCCAAGTCACCGCAGCTCGGCAGTTCCTGCGTTGAGCATCTGCCCCCGGGTGGTCAGTCAGTGCATATCATAGCTACCAGTCGGATGGTCGCTTAGGCTTTTATATATATAGATGCTTATGTGTGACTACAAACATTCTGTAAGTTTACCTTTGGTAATGGATTCAAGGAAGGAGATGAACAGAAGTAAACTTTACCTCAAGCAGAACAGAAAGGTTTTGTTTTGTTCATTTTTACCCTAAAGCCTATATTTACTTCCTCTCAGGCATCCCTTCAGGAAGTGTTGTGACCCCTCCCGCCGAGAAGGGCTGCCTACCCCTGTGCTCCCACGGCATTCTGTACACCACTCTATGAGAGCACTTCACATACACTTGTAGCCTTACTCACTGGCTTCTCAAGTTAGTGGAGCATTCTTTTGAGGGCAAGGACTGGCTTCTCTTTCTACATTTTCGACACATAGCAACTGCTTAGTAAAGATTGGAGGAGGGAAAGAGGGAAGGAGGGAGGGAGGAAGAAAAGAAGAGTCCCATATGAAGATTAACGAGGCAGCAGTATACAGCACTATTGAGAAGGTCGTATCAGGAGATAAGGAGGGCTGGCCAGAAAGAGAGCAATGATTAGAATGAGGAATGGAGTTATCTTACATGAAAGCTTGGGGTCTGTGAACTAGACAGCCAGGTGCTCCAAAGCAGCTAGGAAGCAATAACTGTCAGGCCCTCAGCCTCAGGCATATTCCATGTGAAAGAAGGTGTGGCCACTCCACAATCCCCACAATGCCACAAGGGCCTTGTGACTCCTTCAAGCAAGGAAGAAGCCCTGAGGACAGCTTCTGATCATCTCACCTCTCTGCCGGAAATACCCAGGGACCTCTGCAAGTGAAGTGGCAATCCATGCTGCCTCTCGATCACCTTGCTGGCTATTTTCCTCACAGGGTGTTAGAAATATTCATTGAAATAATCCATGTAAAGCACTTAGCACAGTCCCAGGCAGAGAGTAAGCACTTAAGATAGAAACTATTATTATTAAGTAATTTACAGAATCTCTTCAAGAGTTCTAAGCACTGCTGCTGCAAGTCATCAGGAAGGCTTCATTCCCAACAAGACCCAAGCCTCCCTGCTGATCTCTGCAATAAACATACTGTCTTCCTAAGCACATTTAAAATAAACTAGAAGCTGCTGCTTTTGTATTTCTTACTTTTATCAACATTTTAGAATTAAGCTGGCCTTATCAGACCCCAAGTATAACAGCACACTTTCATCTTAGAAAGCTAGAATTTAAATAACCTTTACAAATTCAGTACATTTTCCTTTGTCCCATCCCAACAGCTGGACCATGCCCCACGTGGCTAGCACTGGAATTCACTTACCACAGTCGGAGGGTCATTCCATTCTTCATAGGAGATGGCAGCATAGGGGTAGATCCGGTCATTGATAATCTGCAGGGTGGCCAGGGCAATGGCTTTAATTGACTGGAAGTATGCTTCCCAGAACCACCGTGCCTGCAAAGAAAACAACACTGTTTTAAGTGAGCAAACAAGTGAGATAGAGCGGAAGAATTAGCTGCTCTATTGCACCCGACGCTGGGTCTGGGTAATTCCTTTATTCCCAAAGAGGGGGGAGCCTATGGCAAGTGCTCCCTGCTGTTCACACCAGCTCCATCAGAAGTGTGCATTTATCAAATGCAATCAAAACAGAATGTGAGCAAGGGACCCGTACACTGGATTCAATTTAGATAGAAGAGAAATTTTGTGATGATGAAAATATCATGGTTACACCAGAGCAAGTTTATAGTCTTTTTAAAGATATGACATAAAGTGCAGAAACCTTAAGTGCACAGCTCACTGAATTTACATGTATGTACATACTTATAACTATTACCCAGGTAAATACAGAGAACATTCCAGCACCCCAGAAGATCCCCTTCTGCTGTGCCCCAGTCACTCCTCTAAGAGTGAATCCTTCTTTTGATTTCTAATGTGTCCACTACTAAATTTCATATAAATGGAATCAAATATTTACTCTTCTCTAACTACTTTTGCTCAACACTTATAATATTTAAGTCAGATTTTGGTATTAAGATTATGCTGGACTCATAAAATGAGTTGAAAAATATTCCTTCTTTTTCTATTCCTTGAGAAATTTTATGTAAGATTGGCATTATTTCTCCCTTGAAAGGTTTAGAAGAATTCATCAAAAAAGCCATGTGGGCTAGGTGTTCCTTGTGTGTGGTTTTAAATCATGGATTAATTTTCTTTCATAGACATATAATTGTGTGTATCTTCATGTGTGGGTCAGTTTTGTAAGTAGTATTTTTCAAGGACTATGTTCATTTCAAATAAATTGTTAAATTTATTAGACTAAAAGTATGTGTTAACATCTTTTTAATGCCTATAGAATCCGCAGTAATACACATTTTGTTCATGATATTGAGAATATGTGTTTTCTCTTTGCATGTGAGTCTTACTAAGGTTTATCAATTTTAATAATCTTTAAAAAATTTGGTTTTGTTGATTTTTTTATCATATAATTTTCTCTACTTTTTCTTTTCTGCTCTTATTTTTATCATTTCCTTTCTTTCATTTTGGAGGACTTGAGTTCACTGGTATTTAGTTTCTTAAGATTGAAGTTGAGATAACTAATTTCAATATTTGTTTTTAATATGTGCATTTCAAGCTATAAATTTACCTCTATCCACTATTTTAAATGCATACCAGACATTTGTATCTCATTTTCATTATATGTTAGGTTAAAATTGTCTAATTTCCATTGTGATGTCTTCTTTGACCATGAGTCATTTTAGAAGTATATTGTTTAATTTCCAAACATTTTGGGATTTTCTATTTCTCTGTTACTGATTTCTACTTTGATGCACTGAGATCAGAGAATATAAGTGTTCTTTCAATACTCTGTAATTTATTTAAACTTGATTTGTGGCCTAAGCACTTTATTCTTGCAAATAATCTATAAAAAAGTATATTCTGCCATTGATTATTATAATTCTATATAATAAAACTCTAACATGCAAATCAACCAAATGGCGGAACGACCGGTCGCTATGATGCACACTGACCACCAGGGGGCAGATGCTCAAGGCAGGAGTTGCCCCCTGGTGGTCATTGCGCTCCAAAAGGGGGAGCGCCACTCAGCCAGAAGCCAGACTCACGGCTGGCAAGTGCAGCGGCAGTGGCGAGAGCCTCTCCCACCTCCACTGCAGGAGGGTGGTAAGGAGCGAGGGGTCCTGGACTGCAAAAGCCCTGGACTGCAAAAGCCCTGGACTGCGAGAGGGACGGGGATCGGGCCTAAGCCAGCAGGCGGACTTCCCATGAGTGGTCCTGGACTGAGACCCCCCCCGCCCCCACCCCAGTGCATGAATTTCATGCTCCGGGCCCTCTAGTGTTTTATAATTATCAAGTAGAGTAAGTTGATTATCAGTGCTGTTTAAATATTCGATATCCTTACTGATTCTTTTCTACTTGTGGGTACACATATGTACACGTATATGTGTTTATTTCCACACTCTTTCAAGGCTTGTTTCAAAATTAACTCTTGTAAAAAGAATATAAATAGATTTTAATATTTATTCCATCCAAAAATCTTCAACCTTCCAATTGTACATATAGTCCCATTTACAGTGTGATCATTCAATTTGATTCATCTGTTCTTTGGTCCTTTATTTCTCCTTTCTTGCCTTTAAAATTGATCAAACAAATTTAATTATTATTCCATGTTTTTCTTCTTCATTAGATTGCTGGTTTTTTAGTCTTCTGTTATTCTTTTAGTAGCTATCCTAGCAATTAAAGTAAGCATCATTGATTTATGTATGATATTATACTTCAAATTAGTAACTTCACAACTTACCGACAATATAAGAAAACCTCTGTTTATTCTCTCGCATCTGTTGTGCTATCAGTGCCAAATATTTTTCTTCTACATATTTTCAACAGCATAAGACATTATCATTGATTTTAAAAGTAAATTTTCATTTACATTTACCATATATTTTCCCTTTCTGATATTCTTCATTTCTTCATGCACATTTGAGCGTCCATCTCAAATTATCTTCCTGCTGCTTGAAGAACTTGTTGTTTTTGTGGGGGTTTTTGGTTTGGTGTGTTTTTTTGTTGCTTTTTGGGTTTTTTTTGTTTGTTTGTTTTTTGTTTTTTTGCTGCAGGTCAGCTGACAGCAAATTCTCTTAATTTTTATTTGTTTGAAAATTTCTTTTTTCCCCCACATTGGCTTTGGAAGCATATCTTTGCTGGATAGAGAATTTTAGGCTAGGAATCTTTTTTCCTCAGCACATTATAAATACAATTTCATTGTCTTCTGATTCATGCGATTTTTGCTAATAAATCAAAGCTGTTGGACTTACTGGTGCTCCTTTGAAGACAACATGACTTTTAATTCTAACTGCAGTTAAGCTTTCTCTGTCTTTGGCTTACAGCAGTTCAACATGACATGCCTAAGTTTGGCTCTTTGCATTTACCCTATTAAAGAGTGCAGAGCTTTCTACAATCTGTGGTTGGATGTCTTTCACTGCTTTTAGACAACTCTCAGACAATATTTCTTTAAATATTGGTTCTGTCGCTTTCCTCTTCTTCTAGGGCTCTAAATACACACATATGAAATGTTTTTACTGCATCCCGTGTCTCTTATTCTCTTTTCTGTATTTTTTCTCTCCGTGCTCCAATCTGGATATTTTCTACCAATTTTCTCATGGTCCAATAATTCTCTCTTCTTTTAGTGTGTGTCTAAATTGCTATTAAACTCATGTGTTAAATTCTTACTTTCAATTCTTACATTTTTCACTTCTGGCATTTTCATTTGACTTTTTAAAAACAGATTTCATATCTTTGTTGAAATTCTTCTATTTTATTGAACATAGTTCCTGACAGATAACACCAATATCTGAATTACCTGTAGGTCTCTTTCTACTATCTGTTTTATCTTTTCATTTTGTCATTTGGTTTCAAATTCTAGCATGCCTCTTAATTTTTCATTTGCTAGATATTCTGTGTATTAAAAACTGTTGAGGTTCTGGATGATCCAGATTATCTTCCTTCTAAGAGTGTAATATATTCTGTCAGGCACAGCAAACGCAGTCAGAACACTTTAATCCTGTTAGTGGTTGGTTTTAAGTTTTGTTAGGCCCCACTTTTTTCAGCTTCTTCTTACTCTTAAAGTATGGCCCTTTGGAGCTTTCAGTTAAAGCCTGGGTTAATTACCAGGACGCTTCCATCTTGGCAGGCCTGAACACACCTTTATCTTGTCAGCACTATATATGATTTACACAGCTTGTTAGGCACCTAGCTGCTTCTTTCTAAAGAGATTCTTGGAGTCTTGCTCTGTTCATGTGCACCTTGGAAGTTGGCAAACATCTCAAGGGACATTGCATGCCCATTTTATCTTACTTCCCTGTGGTCCCCTTTTCCCTTGGATTCTGTCTTTTAAATTTCAAATACCTTCATAAGCCCTAACTCCAGCTCTCAGCCCTGTGGTACTACTGCTTTCTGCTATGACTCTATACCCCTATGTTGTGAATTAGAATGTGCCCTAAGGGAAAAGACTAGAGTGACAATGTAGCTCACCTGAGTGTGCTTCCTTTCTGTCAGGAATCCCAGTCCCTCAAATACTGACTGCATTGGTTGCTCTTCAAAGTCCCTACACTGTTGTTTTATCTACTTTAATAAGCTTTTATACTTCTTTTACTTTTTTTGGTAGCAGTGGTTACTTCAATACCAGCTACTCTGTCATCGTCCAATATAGTCTTCTGAAAGAAGACAGTTTCTTTGCCAAGCAGAGTTTAAACTCAAGTTATTAACAAAGCAGGATGCTGGTCTAGATGATCTCAACTTCATTGAGACCTACGATTCCACTCAAAATCAGAGACCATTAGGATTTACACAGGGGTGAACTATGAAAATTTAACATGAGGAAATTGGAAGCATAACCAAAAGAAGTGGAGGAAAAAAATACTTTCTAGTCTAGACTTGTCAACTTTAGTTCTGTTACTGAGCAAGTCCTCAATTCATCAGTTAAAGCCCAGGATAACTTCTGAGTTATGTGACTATCCTCTCCACTACTTATGTGAAAAAGGCAAAAGCATCACAATGAGAATTTCTCCTATTTAAGGAAAAGCTGAAACAGATTTAGCTTCCAAAGGCATCTGACTTAAGCTGTCTTGTAGTTTCCCATCTGGGTACAGCCTGAGGGCCGGCTGGCTGCCTGCAGCTGCTTCTCCAACCTCATTCCTGTGTAAATTCACGTTGCTGCTTCCCCCACCCCCAACCTGCCATCATCCAGTCAAAATATTTACAATTTATGAGACCTGAAAGAATCTCTCTTCTCTATGAAACCTTAATTGATCACCCCAAATATCAACAATCTATGAAATTCCGCAGCACTTACAGCCTTTACCTTACAGGTTAGTCCTGTTATATACTGTCCTATAATTGTTTTACTGTTATTTCAGATGATCACTTTTCTCTCTCCAGCTAGATTA